TCAGCAAGCCCCACAGGGTCAACAGTTGTGAGGCATAAAGTATTGCCAACATCAGCAGAGTGCAGGTAGAGCCATCATTTTGTTTAGAGATGTTCAAGCTTGAACTCTTACAGCAGAACAGCAGAACAGTCTTAGGGCCATTTCACTGCCCTGAAAGAAAGGAAGGAAGGGTTGTCCAGTTGTAGTAGACTGCTGACAGCCAGTTAGACAGTAGATTGAGGGAAGTTATGTTGAGAAGTAGGCACCAGGACTAGTCAAACTCTGCTCCCAGGACCACCCAGGGCTGCAAAGACTGGCCTTGAATACAAAGAACTGGAGACATCATCCCTGTTCTGTGGCCAAAGATGTGGCCAGGCAAGTGACCTTGGCTGGTTGTGGGAAAGGAACACTCCCCTCATGCACTGCAATCCTGGACACAAACAAGCCAGTGACCCTAGCCAGTGGCGGGGCAAGCCCCCACCCCCCAATAGCCAGAGCATGAGAGTAATTAAAGGTGTGGAATAGGCCAGCCCATGCAAGATCTGGGGGGGGCCAACTGTGCACCAACCTGGGAATAGCTTCAGGGTGACTCCAGCTGAGGGCACCACAGCAGCTGGGACAGTGCAGTGGAGACACTCTTGGTGGGGAGACATGGGAAAGATGCTTGAGAGACATGCGGAAGGCTGCTAGCTGGGGAAGGGTTCTAGCCCTCATCTTTGGAGTCCAGGAAAAGTCCTATGTCCAGCATGGATCTTGTTGCAGACCCAGTGGAGGTGCACAGAGTATTTAGAGGATCTGTTTCAGACACTAACACAGAACTGTGGACACCAGAGGAGTTTTAGCATTTCTATTATTTTTCTTTTCCCTTGTTTGCTTGATTTGGGGCTTTTGTAGTTGTTTAGGTTTTATACATTCATTCTTGTTCTGTTTGCTTTATTTCTCTCGTTCCTCAACTGTAGATCTTGATTCTGTCTCTCTTGATATTCTCAGTGAGTGAACAGTGTTCCTTTTTTCCTAGCTTGTTTCAACGTTCTTTTGCTTCTTCCTTCATGCTTTCTCTCCTGCCCTCTTCTATGATTTCCCAAAGCTTGGTTGTTCATCCTTTGACCTCCAAACTTGCTTCTACTATATTTCTCTTCATTTATCTTTCTGTTTCGTCCCCTATCCCTCTTAAATTTTCTTGCCACATGATAAAAAACTCTACAGAAGGGAAACTCATTGTATACAAGTTCCTCATTTATGTTGGATTGTGTTATAAAATGGTAGAGCTACTTCATGTTGTTAAAGGTACCAAACTAACAGGGACCACAGTTTATCAGTTACTAGGCTATGTTAGATGCTATTAATACTGCCAATTGTGCTGTTAGCCAGGATATCATATTTGTTATAATTGCTTGTTTTCCCTTGTATGACAATACTGTGAATGTCTGGGATCACAAGGATCACCATAGTCCAGTACCAAAAGAGTGGGTTCTGAGATCACCCAGATCTCCAGCAAAATCAGTGGAGAAATAAGATGCTCTCATGAAAAAGAACAACTGAAAAAATTCATGACAGTTCTACAAAGTGTTCTGAAGCACATTTTAGAGATAATGAAACCCACAATTCCAAGAACAAAGAAGGTCACTGAATACTTGCTAAAGGAAAAATACAACAAGAAGAGATGACAGTCATAAATATATATATATGCAAATACTAATGCCCCCAACTGTAGTCAAATTTTCTGTCACCCACAAACTTGAAAGGTTTAAAACAGTTCATGGTTTCAGGGGATTCAGTCCATGGTTAGCTGTCGAGTATATTACAGAAAATATTGGTATACCCAATTACATAAAACAAAAAAAAATTTTTGTACCAGGATTCAAACTTGGGACCTTGCACTTGCAAGGCAGGTGATGGCAACACTGAACTAAATCCCTGGCCCTTTATATAAAACAAATATTAATGGGAATGAAAAATCTAATAAGCACTAACACAATTGTAATGGGGGAACTTAATACCACACTGCCACAAATAGATCATCTAGACAAAAAAAAAATCACTTAAGAAATATCAGAACTAAACTAAACTTGTGAACAAATGGACTTAGTAGATGTCTACAGAGTGTTCCACCCCAAAACATCAGAATATATATCCTTTTCAGCAGCACATGGGACATTCTCCAAAAGAGACCACATACTAGCTCATAGAACATGCTTAAGTAAATTCAAAGAAATTGAAATTATTACATGCATATTATCTGACTATAGTGCAGTGAAAATGGAAATCAATGGCAAAATATACTACAAAACTCTATAAACACATGGAAATTAACTAACACCCTCCTGAACAACCAATGGGCCACAGATAAAATCAAAGAAGAAATTAAATAGTATCTACAATTACATGATAATACCAACACAGCATACTGCAACTTATGGTACAGAAGGAAAGCAGTCCTACAAGGGAAATTTATAGCAATGAACTCTCACACCAGGATAACAGAATAAGTTTAAAAAAGCCAACCTAATCTTGAACATCAAGCTTCTAGAAAAAGAGCAAGTCAAACCCAAAGCTTGAACAAGGGAGGAAATTATAAAGATCATCAGAAATTACATAATTGAGACAAAAACCATACAAAGAATCAATGAATCAAAAAGTTGGTTCTTTGAAAGATTAAATAAAACTGACAAACTCTTAGCCAACATTATCAAAAAGGAAACAAAAGACTCAAATTCATGCAATTAGGAATGAAAAGGGTGAAATCACAATGAAAATCCAGATCATTAATTCCTACTTTGAAAACCTGTATTCTAGTCAGATGGAAAACACAGGAAAAAAATAGACAAATTCCTAGATACATATGAAACCAAAGCTGAATCAAGAAATTGTAAGTAACCACAAATCAGTCAATAAAATTGAAAATTTAATTAAAAACTTACTAACAAAGAAAAGCCAAAGTCCTGATGGCTTCACTGATAAATTCTACATGAAATTTAGATAAGATCTAGTGCCATTTTCTTCAAACTCTTTAATGAAATTGAAAGTGAATCAATACTCTCAAAAATCATTCCTAAAAGCAAGCATTAGCCTGATACTAAAACCAAAGAAGGACCCAATCAAAAAGGAAAACTACAGGTCAATCTTCCTAATGAACAGAGATGCGAAAGTCCTCAATAAGATACTGGCAAACAGAAAGCAGCAAATCATCAAGAAGATTATACATCATGACCAAGTAAGATTTATTCCAAGGATGCAGGTATGGTTCAACATACACAAGTCAATAAATGTACTACACTATATTAACAGAGCCAAAGACAAAACTCACATGATCATCTCAACAGATGCAGAAACGGCATTAGACAAAGTCCAACACTAATTAATGATATATTAAAAAAAAACCTACAGAAAATTGGAATAGATGGTCTTTACCTCAATCTGATAAAAATTCATTTTTATGGCTTGTATCTAGCTGTCCCCCAAAGCCTCATGTGGTCTTAGGTGGGGCTTTTTCAAAGGTGGCTGAATCTAGAGAGTGTGATTGATTCAAGGTGCAATGCTAGGCCCAAGGGCACTAAGATTAAGGGTGTGAGTGCTACCCACCCTAACTAGTCTGAATAAGATGCAAGGCGCAGGAAGAAGATATTAAGGTTTCTTCACAACCTGGTAAGATTACTTGTTACCTCCTGGCCTCCATGAACCGTTTTTCCTTTGCAAGCCCTGGCTGTCACGCCACCCGCTCTTGGAGCCAGCCTACTGAAACCTCCAAGAACTGTAAGCTAAATAAACCTTTCCCGCTTTAAATTTGGGTGTCAGATACTTTGCCTCAGCAATAAGAGAAAAGTAACTAAGACAGCTATCTATGACAAACCAACAGCCTACATCATACAAATGGTGAAAAACTGAAAGTTTTAACTCTAAAACCAGGAACAATCACCACTGTTGCCACTCCTATTCAAAATAATTCTGGAAACATTAGCCAGAGTAATTAGACATGAGAAAGAAATAAAAGGGATAAAGATAGGAAAGGAAAAAGTTAAACTGTCATTATTTGCAGATGACACGATTCTCTACATTTAAGACCCCAAAAGCTCCACCAAAAGACTTCTAGATTTTATAACCAAATTCAGTAGTGCAGCTGGATATAAAGTCAACATTCAAAAATCAATGGCATTCCTTTACACAACAATTTCACTGAGAAAGAAATTAGGGAAACAACACCTTTCACAAAGCATTGAAAAAATGAAATACTTAGGAATTAGTCTAACAAAGGAAGTAAAAAACTTCTATATTGAGAATTACAGTGCTCTGAAAAACAAATTTTTTTTCTTATTTGTCATTTAAGTAGAATGTGTTAACTATGCTTGTTTTACTCCAAGCTATATTACCTGTACATTTGGGTCCCAGTTTACATAGTCTTCAGAGAAATCCAAAAAAACAATAACAACTTTGAATAAATCTGGAAAAAAAACATGTATTATGGTTGTATGTTTTTATTAAAATTAGTAGTTAGCAGGCCAGGGATTTATCTCAGTGGTTCTGCTGCCTGCTTTGCAAGTACAAGGTCTATATATTTATTTATTTTGGTACTGGGAATTGAACTCAGAACCTTGCATTTGCCAGGCAGACAGTGTTACTGAGCTAAATTCCCAGCCAGGTTAGCAATTTATTATTTGAAGAGTTGCCAGATACATCATTCTTCTGATTTAGTACCATGCAAAGGACTTGAAAAGTAAGCATGATCACCTAAATAAGTTACAATGGTACAATCTATTTATTTATTTTGGTACTGGGAATTGAACTCAGAACCTTGCATTTGCCAGGCAGACAGTGTTACTGAGCTAAATTCCCAGCCAGGTTAGCAATTTATTATTTGAAGAGTTGCCAGATACATCATTCTTCTGATTTAGTACCATGCAAAGGACTTGAAAAGTAAGCATGATCACCTAAATAAGTTACAATGGTACAATCTCAGAAACGTTTAATTTTAGGTAAGTTATCTTGTTTTAAATTTAGAATGATTTAAAATTTGTAGGTGTTAGATCCTTTGGTTCATGAGTGTGATGATCTGGTGTTCATGCTGTATGAGCAGGATGTGCCTTCCTCAATCCTTGTTATGACATTGGCACATTACCTGTCTGATGTGGGGAAAGAAAAGATAAAAGTTGTAGGCATTTAGTAAATTGTCTTTTAATCTTTTTTTTGGATACTTCATTTCATTAGAAATGCAACTTTTTCAAAGCTTGTAGTCATGTATCATCTTTTCTTCAAATAACTATTTTGAAAGTAATGAAAACATCAAAGGAAAAAAGTTTATATACATTCATATGTTCATTTGTGAGGTATATATGTTTCTGATAATGCCTGGAACTTGTTTTAAAGCAAAAAGCAGTATTCAGAACATAAACTTACAGAGATTTCTGCCATGTCAAAAATATGTTTATGATCTTGTTTTTAACTGTTGCTCTTACCACTGGGCATTTCAAAATGTAGAATAATCACATAGGGCATTTGTTTAAAGTGTTTATTATTGAGCTACATTAGAATTTTTTTGGAGCCTTTGGACCTCATTTTGAGAAACACTTTATTCGAGTTATTCTTTTGTCCTCTGTTTGAATAGTAATAGTGGAAAGTGTATTTATGGCATAATATTTTAAGATATTAATATATATAAGATTTTAATATATAATATTTAATCATAAATTTACAGCCTTATGAAAGCTTGAACAAATTTTAAGTGAATGACTTTGTCAGATATATTCCCTGTTCCTCCCAATAAAATCTTATCAGTTTTCTACCAATGATATACAAATGGTAAGCTTTTTTCCTTGATGAGGTTTTAACCTTTATTCAGAATAATCTTTTGTTTCTAAAAAAATTAATAAGATTTACTATGCATATTTTATGCAGAATTGCATTACAAATGTGTTTTTAATTGTGTTCTATTCGCTGCAGTCTTTGTGTCATGCCAATTCTTTTCATGTTATATAGAAGTTCTCTCAAAATACTCGCCAGGGGAATAATGCAGTGTACAGTCAGCATGGTTGGCATTTTGATGTTCTAGAAAATAATTTAATTTGTATAAGCCTGTGGTCAGATAATTTTATGCATATGCAGGCAGCTTGGATTAAATTTCAAGTACCTTGTTAAGTGCTGGTACATTTGCTTTATAAATTTGTTTTCTTTTGATTTTATCATGTAGAATACTGCCTAGGTCATCACAATGCAATCGGTGTTTGGGTACCTTCTTTTTCATGTTAAAAATCTTTAAATTAATCATTTAATACACACTCAAAATAAGATTACTGCAATAGTCTGGAAGGAAGAAGTCAGGCTGCTCTAGGTCAAGGGTTAAAGTGGAGATGAAGAGAGGCAGTCAGTATAATTTTCCTGATGGAATGCACATGAGATGTGAAAGAATTAGAGGAGGTGACATGTTGAGAGTTCAGGGCTCAGGAGAGTGGCGGTGTGTGTGTGTGTGTGTGTGTGTGTGTGTGTGTGTGTGTGATTTCCCAAGATAGAGACAACTGTGCAGGAAGTGGTATGTGGGAGGGTACTAGGGGTTTGGTTGTAGACATTATTTTGAGATACCTACTTATATTATTAGTTAGTTTTTGGTCATTGTGACCAAAATATTTGAGAAAGTCAACTTAAACAAGAAAAGTTTTATTTTGGCTTTGGTTTCAGGATTTCAGTCTACGGTAAGCTGACTTCAAAGCAGAAATAGCACAGTGGAGGAAAGTTGCTCATCACAACAGCCAGGAAGTAGAGAGCAAGGGAGAACCAAAGAGGAAGGGACCAGACACCAAATAAAGTCCCCCAAGGTCATGCCCTTGTGACCCATGCAGGATGTTCATTAATCTTCTATGCCTCTCTCAAGCCAGTCAAGTAGACAATCAAGATCAATGTAACCATCGTACTGCTAGATATTCATAGGTAGTATAGAGCAAGAATGAGTTTGGGAGGGAGGTTTGGATTGGAGATACAGAGTTACAGTTATCTATATATTAATAACATATGAAGTCACCGAGGCTAATAAATCACCAAAGGGGTGAGTGTAGACAGAGAAGAGAATCAAAGCCTGAATTGTGTTACATCATTAGTGACCTTGACATGAGAAGGCCTAGGCACTAGTGAGGGTAGACCTAGAGTGGAGTGGGTTTTAAGAAAATGGGAGAAAAAAAAATAACAGAGGGACAGTAGAAAGAGGTCTTTTGAGATTTGCTGAAGGATTCAAAGAAATGAGCTGATGGTAAGAAAAGTGAGAGTGTAAACAAAGTTCATTTTATCATTTGAATTAGGAGAATTGTAGGCTTGAGAACTAACTGATGGCAGTGATACAGTAAAGACTGAAAAAAATAAGTGGATGGTTTTACAGAGAAGGAAAGAATTGCTGGAGCTCTGCTCACCAGCAGGAAATGCAGGGGAAACTAGCATAAACAGAGGAACAGACTGCATACAGGGGCAAAGAGCACAATCCACAGCAGCAGGCAGCTTGACAGAATATATAAACAGATATGCAGATCCTGCTGTGCAGACAGACATGAACTGGGATTCTGAGGAGTTTTCCTGGGACCTCTCCAATTCTTTCACCAAAGTTAATAAGGCAAGATCATAAGTTGCTGATCCTTACTTTTAATCATGTCATACTTACTCTCATGTTAAATACAACTTTGAGACTAGAGAAGTAGGAAGGCCCTTCCACATGAGATGTTATTTTGTTGAACTGTGGGAATGAAAGTAAGGTGACAGGATCCAGGAATCCCACAAGGGAATGGAAGAGTAAATTGCAAATCCTAATGCAGCCCAAGTATAAAGCAATTAAGGGCTAGAACAAGAACAAGACTTAAACATTGTAGGAGCTCAGTTTGACTGTTGATCTTAGCTAAAAGTGTTTCAAATGGTCTGTTTCATTTTGGTGATTTGTGGGAATGTTTTGCCCCAGGTTGATTGGATGTCTTAGTCTTTTTTCTCCTAGGGATTCCAGGGGAAGGAGAAGCTGGATGGCCCCATTTCCTACAGGGTCTTTGTCACCAATGTTGGTGTTGCTAAAGGTAGTGTGATTCAGGCTTCCCATTGCCTGGCTTCTTTGTTTTACTAGAGCTAAGGAAGGGGCTTTCCAATGAGAATTTCATCAGTTTGTGCCCAAGCTGCAGATCAGGTTGTCTTGAAATATGGCTGGAGCATTCTGTTATTTAGAACATTGCTGGTTTTCTCAGTGTCTCCTCACCTAGCGTTCTACTAGAGGCTGATCTACCTGGAGGAAGGGGAGTAGCCAACTGTAGTTCTCTCTGGACTTGTTGTGAGACCCAAATGGCAGGGGGAGTCACTTGTGGAAAGCCTCAGCCAGGGGCAAAAGTCTCACTAGAGACCTAGACCTAATCACAGGGCCACAGAGTGACCCCTCACCCTTTCCTGCCACATTAATAGGACCCTCATATGACAACAGTGGACTCTCTGCACGTTTCGTGACTGGTTTAAGTCTCTAGAGAGCCTCCAACTCCTGCAGCTCTAGAAAATAGTCAACAGTGTGACTTCTGACCACTGAAACAACAATCTGTCACACAAAATGCCTATTTATTTAGTTTTGTTAACCCAGGATAGGTCTGACTTCCATCAAAATAGTAACAAAGCATACAGAAACACACAAACCCCGAAACAGAATTACACACCTCTCAACCCCATGCATGTAGAGTTTGAAGAGTTAAAATAAACACCAGAACCAGTTGTGGCAGAGAATGGGATGATCAGAACTAGAATTTAAAACAAATATCACCAATAGACCAGGGATTAAAGTGGAAACAATGTACAGTATGAAAGGATTGATGAATAATAATAAAAAATAATGTCCAGTGCTTCTGTTTGGACTTCACAGGAGGAGTAGGAAAGAGTATTGGAGCTTTTAATTATAATTTAAGAGAAGAAAGTTTATTCTGTTCTACACATTTTTGTTTTGTTTTTTACTTTCTTCTAAGTTACCATTTCCATGTTTTCATTTCTCTTTCTTTAATATTAAAGGCTCTCGGGCCAGGGATTTAGCTCAGTGGTTCGGTGGCCTGCCTCGCAAGCGCAAGGACCCGAGTTCGATCCCTGGTACCAAAAAAACAACAACAACAAAAAAAAACAAAAGAACCCCCACAGAAATATTAAAGGCTCTCCTTGGAAGGGTGGTGATCCTGGGCTATCTATGAATACTTAAGGTCAAGCATCACGAGACAAGAGGTTTGTGTCAAGGAGAAGGGTTGCACGCCCGCATTCATTGTACATATATTGGGCAGTAATCTAGACATTTCGTGGGAGAGGGTAAACATTTATCAAATACCAGTTTCTGAGGGTTTTTTCTCTTGGGGTTGTCATTTTTTCAATGATTCAACCTCAAATGTATTTCTTAGGGCTAAATTGAGCGTGAAGGAAGCATTGTGGTAGCTAGAAGTAAGAGAATTGAATGTCCTACTGCTCAGGATTCAGACTTTTGCTTAATCTCCCTGCCTTTATTACGGCTTTTCACCTTGATCTGCTTCCAGGTTTGTGCAGAGGCAGAGGCAATAGGGGCAGGCGGTGCTTCTTGGTCCACAGGCCATAGTTGAGACATCCACGGTTCTTGCCTGTAGAAAAGCCAATGGTGACAGAAAGCGTCCTTTCTTGTATTCTGGTGTTTCATGGCTAGAGGCACAGACAGCTTTGTTCTGGATGATCTTGTCGAGGATGATTACATAGCCAGCAGTGTTGGAAGACGGAACTACTGTCTCCTGGGACAGAGACATTTGTGCGATGACATCCTCCCGAACAAAGGTTGCACCGGTCTTCTCGTAGCTCCTTAGCATATGACGTTTCCCGAGACTGGAGATGCTCAGCTGTGGAGCACACCGCTACATGTCCAGGGCCAACGTGTGTCATTCTCAGCAGTCCCGGAAGGTCTCAAGGGATAAGGTGAGCTGATGTGAACATGCAGGCCATGCTGCTTATCGGGCTGGGAGGAATAAGGTTCTTGGCCTCTGGCTCAGGAGACTTGTATCTTTGGCAGCCCACAGAAATATGCTGTGAAAATAAACTGTAAATGTGTAACTTGTAAGTTTTCAAGTGGGGTCAAACATTGGACAGTGAATCCTGTGAGTTTCCGGTCCTACCGCACCATGTAGCACCA